CAATGGAAGAAATACAATCTGAGAGCCACTAGTAGATATAAACTTTTTTTCTTCTTTAAAAAAACCTAGGCCTTCCCTGGTGGCGCAGTGGTTAAGAAGCCGCCTGCCAATGCAGGGGACATGGGTTCAAGCCCTGGTCCGGCTCGAACAAGGTCCCACATGCCACAGAGCAACTAAGCCCATGCGCCACAACTACTGAGCCTGCGCTCTAGAGCCCGCGAGCCACAACTACTGAGCTTGCGTGCCACAACTACTGAAGCCCGTGCACCTAGAGCCTGTGCTTCGCAACGAGAAGCCACTGCAATGAGAAGCCCGCACAGCTCCCGCTCACAACTAGAGAAAGCCCGCGCGCAGCAACAAAGACCCAACGCAGCCAAAACAAAACAACCCAAAAAACAAAAACCCACTAGCTGAAATGACTGTATCCTGATGTTCTTTGCGGCCTCAACACGGAGTTGCGGGGGAGAGGGGATGGGTTTCAGGGCTGGCAAAGTCAACTACTTCCCTTCCAAGGCTGCATATGGTCTGATGCCTACTCTACAAATGAGTTAATGAGGGAGAAATGAAAAAAGGAGACAAGGAGCCAGAGATAGAGAAGTCTTCCCAGCAGGGAAAATGGGACTGACTGATACTGATGCAAGGACTGCAAATTTCTAAGGATAGTCAGCCACTCCTGATTCCTGCCTCATTCCTGAGAAGTGCAGACAACACAGATTATCCAAAGCTTCTGGATGAACACCTAAACTTGAATGCAGCCCCACCCTGAAGCAAAGATTTTTTTTTCCCCACTAAAAGTGAAAGATGACTCATCATGAATAGGACATTAACTTAAACAGGATTTCTTTTTTTTTTTTCTTTGCGGTACGAGGAGGAGGCTCAGCGGCCATGGCTCATGGGCCCAGCTGCTCCTCGGCATGTAGGATCTTCCTGGACCGGGGCACGAACCCGTGTCTCCTGCATCGGCAGGCGGACTCTCAACCACTGCGCCACCAGGGAAGCCCAAACAGGATTTCTTTTAAATGGAACAACCTACTATCGTTGTGGCAGAGATTGTAGAAAATTTCTCTGGTATCAAATGCTGAAAATATGGTATCAGCAGGAGAGGTGGCTGGGTTATCAGCTGTTTGTCTTGTGTAAAAGGCAAGCATTCACAATTTCCTAAAAGTTATATGTGGTTTAATAGCAACACTCAAACTTAATAGTGTCTCTGTCTAAATCATGTCTTTCTTTACACAAGAAACAACAGTGTGGCCTCTGGGGAATTGGATAGGGAGAAGAAAAAGGATCTTTTTCTTTTTCTAATTTCATATCCTTTTTGTATTAACAGTTTTCCCTATGTACATTTACTACTTCTATAATTAAAAGCAATCTAAATTGTTAGTGTCCACCTGTATGTCCTGCCACCAGTTCACCCACTAACATTGCTAGAGTCTAATTTTCTCATTTCTCCTGGCCCCGGCCAGGTTGTGTGATAAGAGCGCTAAGATATGACCTCACCTTCACAAGTTCACAAGTTTGGAAAAAGGAAGATATAGATCTTGCTCCTTGGGGGATGAATGCAGACAGAGAAAGGTCAGGATATCAGTAATACTGAAAAAATCCAGTATTTTTCAGCTTCATATTCCTGAGGAAGATATACTCAGATGCTGTAGTCTAGAGGCATGCAATGAAATGCTATCTGGTGAGGTTTCAGGTTCAAGGACTCTACCAAATGGTGGAAAACAGACTGGTCATTTGGGTTATGGGGGGAAACAAAATACAACTTCTTGGCCCTTGGAATGTGCCACAAAGACTCTATATTAGTCCGCCAATGAGTTCCCTGTGGTGGAAATCAGAGGTAACCAAAATGAATTGGTCCCAAATTGCCTTATGCATTAAAACAACTTTCCCCAAATTTGTATTTCACAAGGAAAAATTTGGTGTAATTGGTGTTAAAATTGAACTTCACTCCTATTCTTCAGGTGAGGGTATTCATTTACGACAGCAGCTGAGTCTGCAGGAGGAATTCGGTGACTTTTAGGATTTGTTAAAGACCAGAATCTTATCACCCAGGGGAGTTTGTAGAGTTTAAGATATTTAAAAAGGAAACAAAGTCAACCATCTGTCTAGGTTTCTCCAGGGGCAGTGTAACTTGAAGTAGGGGGGGCCAGGTGGCCTCCTGGAGCCTCTCTCTGGCCAGCTTTTTGCTGCTAACTGGGGATAGCGGCTTAAGGCTGCATGACCAGTCAGCAAGGCTGGGAGATTCCAACTCGCTCAGGGAGTACCAAAAATAAGCCACAAAGCATTCAGGAGTCATGCTTATAGTTTTGATGCCAAACACACTTTGTGCTTATCCAGTCCAGGCCGCGGATTTTTATGTAATTTGTGTGTGTTAAGGCCAATGAAGAAAACTGGAGGCAAAGGAATGCAGGTTGTAGTCAACAGACATGCCTGCTACCACCACTTTTAATTCAGAATGAATTAGGCCCGCCAGACAGAAACCGCCGTTCAGAGGCAACAAAGCCGTGGGCACAGCTTCCCTCGTACCCGCGGGGTTCACCTGGAGGCCAGTGGGCCCGGGAGGCCTCGTGAGCGGAGAACTGAAAGAGGGGCGGGGAGAAAGGAACAAACACACCTCCCGGCAGGCACAGCTCCGATCCTTTTGACGGAACTGACCCAGAAACTGCGAGCAGCGGCTCAGCGGCAGGACCCAGACCCACAATTCCGCCTCCCCGCTCTCGGGCAGACCCCAAAGGCAGGAGCCCCCAGCTCAGGAGTGGGGTGACTGAGCAGCATTCCCATTCTCAAGGGATAGGTTCTCGTTCCTCACTCCTCAGGCCCCAAGCCTGATCAGATCCCAAGCCCCCACCCCACAATTCCGCGTTCCCTCCACATAGACCCTCGGGGCTCCCCAGGTCCCACATCTTTGTCCTTCCGGGACCCCAGGATCCATTCCTTACGATCACAGACAGGGGTCCGTTACCTGCAGAGCAACTCGACAACCCTGCAGATAGTCCTCCATGGTGAAGCTCAAGGTGTGCCACTGCCCCTCGCCGCGGAGAGGTTAACTGGCGAATGAGCCCCGCCCTGGGTTCAAGGGTTGAGACGAGTCGGGAGGTGGGACTCGAACCCACCACACCCCGACTCGGCCCCGACCCCGGGAGGAAGTGCGTAAGCAAGGGCCCCGGGAGTCCGACGTCGCCCCGCCCCCAGCGGCGGAGGCCGAGTTCTGCGCCCAGGGACTCACGGGAGGAGCGAAGTGGGGGCCGGAGGCGCGAAATGGGGCGTGGTGCAGGGCGTCCTGGGAAGTGTAGTCTCGAAGCGCCAAAATGGCCCCAAGAATTGAGGGAAGGAGAATTTTCTGAGATCACAGTGTATATGAGTCACATAACCTATCTTTGTGGCATCTGAACTTTCCCTCTTGAGTCAGGCTAAGTATAGCATCTTTCCATATATTACACCGCCCATCTGGTTGACATCTTAAATTACACTGGGCAAAAACAGCTCCTCATCTCTCTCTCGAATTCTCTTCCTTACCAAACTGACCAACTGCCACCAATTGCGTGATTATACATGTTATAAAAACATTAGAGTAGTCTTTGACCTCTCTTCTTTACTTAATACCTACAGTCTCTCGCCAACTCCTGCTGCTTCTTTTCTGTAGCCTGTTTTTTTTCTACAGCGTCGGCAAATGTCTCATTCTTTTCCTGGACTGTTGTAACCTGGGTTCTTTGCTCCCTGCCTCCCTCATTGTTCCAACTGCTCTTTCAGCCTCCGGAGTTGCTTGAAGTTTCATCCTGTGGCAGCCCTGTAAGTAGAGCTTGGAGGGCCCTTCAGAACGTAGAGTAGGGTTGCAACCTCCTTTAACTGCCACCTTCCAGCCCCAGGGTAGTGCAGAGTACTGCAAATAAAGGTATTCTCGTCATCAAATGTTCCCCTATTTATTGATCATCCCTTTATTTCCTACCACCAGCCTCACACCAGCTTTCCCTGCTCCCCAAGCTAGGAATTGAGATGAGGTGACAGATGAGAAGCTGAGGCCTGTGGTGGGAACAAGGACTAGAGCACAGGAGTATTGGATCTCCTGCTTGCTCAGCTGGTTTTCTCCCTGCTGCACTCTTCCCAGAGCCTGGGGCTTCTTCCACACCTTCTTCTGCACTACCCAGGCACAGCCCAACCGGTTTCATTTCTAGACTAAAAAAATGATTCAGTAAGGACTTGGAAAGGATCGGGATTTTTTCACTTTAAATGAATAAATATGGAAATATCACGCTCTTTGGCCCTGCTTCTTTGGATCCAGGGCAAAGGACTGCCATGCCCGGAGAGATCCAACAAGCTGCTGCTGTCCAGCCCTGCTCCTCCCCACTCAGCAAGGGCCCTTGCTCTTCCCTATTCTCACCAGAGAGGCACAAGTGCTCCGTCCCTTCCAGCGGCAGGCGGAGGGAAGAGAAAGGGTCTGTTGTTTTTCTCTCCCTGTTTCTCTCCCTCACTGCTGATCACCAAGCTGCTGACCAGGTCAGAAAGCCCTAATGGAAATCCTCCAGTGCTGGGCAGGCTCCTCCTCCTTTGGGGAGCTTGTCCTTGACTGATTTTTCTTTGTCCTGATGGGAAAAAAGAGAGAGAGAGAAAGAAGAAAAAAGAAAAACCACAAACTTCCTTTGAAAACCAGCTTGTAGACAGGGCCTGGAGCGCACGCCCTAGACTCGGCGACTCAGAAATCCCGAAGACGCTCTGAGCGACCTGGGAGCACCTGGGCTGCACCCCTGTCTGCCCGCACGCTCCTCCAGTGCCCCCCGGTCGTGGGCGTGAGTCCGGAAGTAGCCACAATCCAGCCAGGACCGCCGCTCGTAAACCTGGGTAAACCTGTATAAGCTCTGGCGTTGACAGCTGGAAGGCAGCTGGGACTGTGGCGGCGCCCCTCCCTGTACCCACCTCCGCCATCGCATTGCCAGAGTTGAACCCCCCTTCTAGGTCCTGGAACAGCACCCACTTCTGTAAGGTAAAAACTGTTTTAACCATTTCCTTCGCCTTTTCTCCTAACCCCCACTGCTCTTTTTCCTCTCCAGCTCTGGGGAGGTGACACTGGCTGTCCTTCCACCTTGGGTCTCTATAAGTCTGGATTTCGAGAGGAGCTCAGGCAAAAGGAGTACGTAAAAGAGATGCTGCTTGGTCCCTACACTTCCTCCTTTTAATGACACCTTCCCCCTCTCCCTTGCTAGCAAGTAGACAGTGCACTGTGGTTGCCTTATTCTGAGGGAAAATCTAAATCATTAGTTGCATGAAGATTTGGGTCAGACTGAGAGGGAGATTAGAGTGGGACAGTCAGGTACTTGAGGGGAGAGTAAAGTTCCTGGGGAGCCAGGGCAGGGGACACGGGTGTCTTCTTGAAGCTACATACCCGGTTTATATGCTTCTTCCAACTTTTATATGCTTCTTCCAACTTTTGGCTATTTACTGCCTCTGGCTATAGGGAGGGTCCAGGGCTCTTTTGACTCCCTTACCGCCACCAGAGGATAATTCCAGCTGGAGAGAAAGTGTAGGACTTGAGTTAAGAAAAGAGGAAAAGCATGAAATCCTGATTTGTTTGAGAACCTATGAGTCTCAGAGTCTCTCCCGCTCTGAAATACTCCATTATGCCCAACCCACCAGGCATGCCCCCTGTAGAGTGGAACTCCTCCATCACACTTCTGGCCCCTTTTAAAGACTTAGCCCACTTAGCTTTTTGCCCAGATTCTCTGAGACCCAGCTCCCTCTGGTATCCAGCTCCTGGATACCACTGGCCTGGCCAGCTAGTGGCCCAACCCCCGCTTAATTATTGATCATTTCTGGCATTGGACAGAAAAGCTAAGAAATAAGCGCTGTTTTTCTCCAAGCTTTTAAAAAAGTGTCCCAGGCTCTGGTTTCTGCTTCTAAGGCTCATCCTAAGTGTCATTTGGGAAGGGAGGAAAAAAGGAGAGAGAGGGAAAAAAAAAAGCTTAAGGCCTGCAGGCAATTTTTGCTGCTGTGATTCGAAATCAACAACATGTAAATGAGATGCAGCTCGCATAAATTATATTTGAATCAGGAGGATGATCAATCTGGGTGACTAGGCTTATTTCGGTAACTTTTCTGTTCCTCAACTTCATCCCCCAGGCTTTACCCTAGCCCTAAATTCCTGCCGGATTACAAAAGGAAGCATAGTCTCAGGTTAGGCGGAAGCAAGATAAAAGATTTCTGACAAGTTTAATTTCTCCCCCTTTCTCACCCTGATCAAGGGGGTGAGGGGAGTAAGGAGGTTGAAGGGAAATGTTTTCCAGGGGGCAGGGTTTGTGGCTTTTTGTTGTCTACGATCCATGGTGTTAATTAAATGTCTATGCTTAGCGCTGGTAGAGAGTGGGTTAAACAGGTCCAGAGTTGACATCTAAAATGACCTAGATGGGAATAGATGGAAAGAACATATGCACAGGTAGAGGAGTGGAGACAGAGCATTTTTTGTTTTACAGAAATCAATAATCAGTATTTTTATATTCCATGTAGTGGGCAAGAGAGTATCTCTGGGTTTCGGCAGTTTTCGGAGCATAGAGGAACTGAGGAGACGTCGCTATCCCAACTCTAGCTGTCAAGAGAAGCTTACTGGAAGAATGGGGTCGGGTGGTGTGTGTGTGTGTGTGTGTGTGTGTTTTGTATGTCTAATCTGAAATTACTTATCAGAACTGATTTCTGATTCAAGTCCCCAGGGCCTGCATTTCCCCTCTCCAGCCTACAGGAAGCTCCTCCCAGGATCTTTTTGTTGTGGTTTGCGATTGTGTAAATCTGGAGTTGTGAAGGTGGAGTCCTTTGAGGAGAAGGACTTCTTTCTCACCAGTGTTTCGCCTTTAGGGGCATGGTATTGACTCTTTATTCTTCACCCCAAGCACTATATGACTGTTCATCTTTTTGCCCTTGGGATGAGGCAGAGAGAAGATGGCCCTAAAGATATAAGCCATGTGTGCTCAGGATGTGTCCTGAACAGCCAAGGGACAGGGTTCGGGTAGGGCAGAGGAATTACTCTCATTCTGGCTATGGTGGGGTTTAACTGACATGATGCCTATTACAGGGTGAGCTAAAGATCACTGTATTAATAATCATTAGTATAGTTTTAACATTTCTTTCTCCATCTCTTTTTCTTCTTTCTCCTTTTACCCGCCCTTTCTGTCTTGTCTCCATTCCTTGTCCTTCCTGGTTTCAGGGAAGCTGACGCCACCCAATGTCTTCAATCCCACCGGAATCATCCCCCCCAAGCCTGAAAGTCCTGTACCCTCGTTGGTCCTATCTGGTCACAGCAAGTTAGAGGTGAAAGAGCCCGGCCTGGGGCCCTTCTGTTTACCCCAAAGCTGTACTACCTGTAGCCAGGAGTGGCCAACAGACGCTAACCGAGCCTTCTGCACTACATTCCTTTTCCAAGACTTTTCTGGCTCTATCTGCGTTCCAGCCCAATGATTTCCCTCTTATTGGATCGTTCTCTCTTTTGCATATCAAGCCTCGATTAAGCCAGTCCCTGAGGACAATAAAGTCCTTTGGTGCCCCTCAGTTGACCCCTCCTGACCATGGAACACCATGAGCCTGAGCATCCAGTCCGTGGTGAGGCCAGGACTGCGGAAGTGGTCGTCCCTGAAAACCACGAGGTCCTGTCAGAACCCAGTGAGCCCCCTCAGGACAAGGATGCCGAAGAGGCTGATGGGGCAGCTGGAGAACAGGAGCCAGTAGATGAAGCTTTGCTGCCAGCCCAGGGCCAGGGTAACCTCGAGTCCCCTCCACCTGATGCTAGCTCAAGCCAAGAAGGGCCAGCCCAGGGGACACAGCCTGAGGTAGAGACAGCGGGGGCCTGCTCCTGGCCCCAAGAGCTTCCCCAGTCCCCCAGGGCCCGACAACCTGAGCTAGACTTCTACTGTGTAAAGTGGATCCCCTGGAAGGGAGAACGGACACCCATCATCACCCAGAGCACTAACGGCCCTTGCCCTCTCATCGCCATCATGAACATCCTTTTCCTTCAGTGGAAGGTAAGAGAGAGCTTGGATGGGGGCTCAGAAAACCTTGATCATTCTGATTTTCTCAAGCCAAACTTTCCAGATTATTCCTCCTATTTCTCCAGCTTGAACACATGAGATAAGATATTTGTTAAAAACGAAACAAAACAATGATCTGTCCTACTCCTCTGTCTTCTACTGTCTAGCAAATGGGAATGCCTTGCAGTTTTCCACATCCATTCCCTTGCTCCAGTTGCAAGCCTTTCTTTTCCACCACACCTGACTGCTGGACAACCCCTGCCCTCCCCCTGCCTTTCTATGGGTTCCTCCTTCAGTGCTCCATGAAGGAAAGCACACACCTGGCTAACACTTTGTCATTCCTTGCCTCCAGGTGAAGCTGCCACCTCAGAAGGAAGTGATCGCATCAGATGAGCTCATGGCCCATCTTGGTGAGTGACTGGGCCTTGAAGGGGAATTACCCAAAAGCTTCCAGTGCTATCTACTCAGCCAGAAATCCAGGGTGTTGAGGGACTCCCCATGCGGGGATCTTATGTGGCAGGGAAGGTAAAAATCTGTGGGGCTTCTCTGCAAGGCTGGGGAATGAAAAGGAAAAGTGAAGGTGTCAGGAGTCCTGGGTCGTCACCCCAATTCTTCCCTTAGCTTTCACATGGAACCTTGCGTGTACCCTTCACCTTTGTGGGCCCATTTCTTCCTCTGAGAAACTAAAGCCCTTTGCAACTGTGAAAATCTGTGGTTCTGTGACATTACCTCCATTCTCCTGGAGAAGAGGAAGCAGCTTTTGGGACTGTTGGCGGGGTAAGCTGATAAGGAATCCTGTCTTGTAGGAGACTGCCTTCTATCCATCAAGCCCCAGGAGAAGTCAGAAGGACTTCAGCTTAATTTTCAGCAGGTGAGGCGAAAGGTCTGTGGACATGGGGGTTTGCAGGCTTATAAGGAGACACCCAGGCTATTAAGAGAGGCTTTTCTGATGCTTCTCAGGAGGGTTCCTGGAACCATAATTTCTTTCTGCAGGAGGGGGAGGGTGTATCTCTGTCCTAGAAAATATGTTCATTTACATAAGATAAAGAAGGGTTGAGACAAGGGAGGAATTTCCATTGTAAGAGAACACCAGGGAAGAAAAGCAACAAGATTAATTTTTTTTTTCCTGGAGGTGGGAGTGGCGGGGGGAGGGGAGGCTAGAATAGCCATCATTTTCTTTTTTTTCCCCAGTTTTATTGAGATTTAATTGACATATAACACTGTGTCAGGTTCTTTTTTTCCATTTTATTTTATTTTTTAAATTGAAGTATAGTTGATTTATAATATTGTGTTAGTTTCAGGTTTACAGAGTAATGATTCAGTATTTTGCACATTATATTCCATAATAGGTTATTTTAAGATACTAGGTATAATTCCATGTGCTATACAGTATATCCTTGTTTACCTATAGCACTGTGTAAGTTTAAAATATACATGTGTTGATTTGATCTATCCATTATTTTCTTTTCTACCCCAGAATGTGGACGATGCAATGACAGTGCTGCCTAAACTGGCCACAGGTCTGGATGTCAATGTGCGATTCACAGGTGTCTCTGATTTTGAGTATACACCTGAGTGCAGCATCTTTGACCTACTAGGCATACCTCTGTACCATGGCTGGCTTGTTGATCCACAGGTGAGGGTAGGGGGCGCAAGTGAGACTCAGTCAGCTCAAGCTGAGAGAGAAGCAAAATTTTGTGTGGAGGGGTTTAGGGAGGTAGGGAGTAGATTGGCTTGGGAGGGGATTAGGGTTTAGAGGCTGGATCCAGTGCAGGATTCCTTTAATTTTCACCTTTCTGGGGGGTAACATTCAAATACAAGCAAACAATATGGAAATAGGTCAATTCTTCAGACATCAAAAGTTTCAGGAAGCTTTGGTCGTAGGGTTTGCAGTCTTTGTGGGCTTGCTTCACTTCCTTCCTGTAAAAGATCTCCATTTTTTTGGTACCACCCCACCCCGCTGCTCATGCAGAGTCCTGAGGCTGTGAGTGCAGTTGGGAAACTGAGTTATAACCAACTGGTAGAGAAGATCATCACCTGCAAGCACTCCAGTGACACCAACCTCGTGACAGAAGGTGACCTCCCTCCCTTCTCTTCTGTGGATCTTATGTGGAGGGAGTGATGGCTACTTAGGTTTAGTGTTTATTGTCTGTCTCCCCACCACCATGTCCCACTAGAATGTGAGCTCCATGAGAGGGAGTTTGGGGAATTGTCTATCTAGTTCACTGACGTGTCCCCCGGTACCTAGTGCGACGCCTGGCAAAAAGTAGCTCTCAGTTAGAATCCGTTGAATGAATGAATACAGCCAGGCTTCAAGGAAGCGATTTCACAAGGTGGGACTGACCCCTAGGGCTTTGACAGGCGCTCTCTGGATGATCCTACCGTGGACTTTGCATTTAAGCCACCCGCCCCCCCCCCCCTCTTTCTTGTGCTCTGCTGCCAGGCCTGATTGCAGAGCAGTTCCTGGAGACCACCGCTGCACAGCTGACCTACCATGGTCTGTGTGAGCTAACAACAGCTGCCAAGGAGGGCGAACTTAGCGTCTTTTTCCGGAACAACCACTTTAGCACTATGACTAAGCACAAGGTGATGACGGTTTAGGAGGTGGGGGTTTGGAGTGTTGTCATTCCCTCATGCCTTTTTCTTCTGGGTCAGTGTTTCAGTCAGGATAAAGGTAGATTAAGCTGTGATAACAAATGACCCCTGAACCCCAGTGGTTTACCACAACAAAGGTTTATTTCTTTTTTCAAAAAAATATTTATCTATTTATTTATTTTGGCTGTGCCGATCTTAGTTGCGGCACACGGGATCTTCGTTGCGGCATGCAGACTTCTTACTTGCGGTATGCGGACTCTTAGTTGAGGCATGCATTCGGGATCTAGTTCCCCGACCAGGGATCAAACCCGAGCCCCTGCATTGGGAGCACGGAGTCTTACCCACTGGACCACCAGGGAAGTCCCCAAAGGTTTATTTCTCACGCATGTTGCACGTCCACTGCAGATTGGCTGCAGCTCTGTCCCACATCATCTTCACTTTGGGGCCCAGGCTGACAAAACAGCCTTTGTCTGGAACATAGGAGGGGAAAGTGCGGGGGTGGGGAACACACCGCACGCGTGCTTTTAGTGCTTCTGCCTGGAAATGACAATGTCAGTTCTGCTAACATCTCACTGGCCAGAGCAAGCCATAAGGAGTAAGCCTGCCATCAGTGGGACAAGAAAGTGTAAATCCTCTCCCAGGAAGGGGCAGTGGAATTTTTGAACAATACTATAGTTTTCCAAAGCTAAAAATTGTCTGAGCTCTCTAGGAATTGAGTAGAAGAGGGAAAGGTCATTGGTTCTCAAAGGATTTATCCTTATATCTATCAGGTGAGCCCAGAGAACCATGGGAAGTAGGGTAGGAAGCAGGGCTGTATGTGGGACTTTAGCCCGAGGACTCCATGTTTGACCACAGTGACCACCATACTCACACCCAGCTGACCACGACTCAGACAGCCCTTCCTTCTCCCCACAGCCGCGCATATTTATAAAAGATCCACATGCTCACACTGACACATTCCAGCTAGCACACCGATTGATTCCAATGGTCTCTGTGCATCTCAGATAGGGGCCTCTGTCACCTGTCCCACCAATGCACTTTGTCCTCCTCTTTGCAGGGTCACTTGTACCTACTGGTCACCGACCAGGGCTTTCTACAGGAGGAGCAAGTGGTGTGGGAGAGCCTGCACAACGTGGACGGAGACAGCTGTTTCTGTGACTCTGACTTTCACCTAAGTCACTCCCTAGGCAAGGGACCTGGAGCAGAAGGTGGGAGTGGCTCCCCAGAAAAGCAGCGGCAGGTGGACCAGGTGTGTGGGGTCCCTGGGGCGGGTTCAGAGAGCATGTCCGCCTCAGAGAGCTTCTTGCCATAGGTGCGAGCTGCCTGCATCTTATTATCTAGAGACTGTGACATACGACAGCCATGCCCCTCTCCTCTGTTACCTTTCGGACCATCTCAGCACTTGGTGTGTATTCTCTGGCACCAGAGGTAAAATACTTGGCTGGGGCTTCCCTGGTGGCGCAGTGGTTGAGAGTCCGCCTGCCGATGCAGGGGACACGGGTTCGTGCCCCGGTCCGGGAAGATCCCACATGCCACGGAGCGGCTGGGCCCGTGAGCCATGGCCACTGAGCCTGCGTGTCCGGAGCCTGTGCTCCGCAACGGGAGAGGCCACAACAGTGAGAGGCCCTCGTACCGCAAAAAAACAAACAAACAAAAAACTTGGCTATATGTGTTGCTCTGGAGAAGGAGCTGGAGAATTGGAAGGACGAGGAAAGGCTGCCTTTTTTGTTGTCGTTATTTATTTATTTATTTTTTTGGCCACACAGCTTGTGGGATCTTAGTTCCCCGACCAGGGATTGAACCCGTGCCCCCTGCCAGTGGAAGCTCAGAGTCCTAACCACTGGACTGCCAGGGAGCTCCCAGGAAAGGCTGGTTTGGAAACCTAAACACAGCCTGGACATCCCCCCGCCCCAGCCTCCCTCACCATCCCCGTTCTTTCCCCTCTCTCCAGGACTACCTGATCGCCTTGTCCCTGCAGCAGCAGCCGTCCTCGCAAGGCACATTGGGTCTTAGCGACCTGGAGCTGGCCCAGCAACTTCAGCAAGAGGAGTACCAACAGCACCAAGCCGCCCAGCCCGTGGCAGCACGTGCCCTGTTACCGCAGGTGGGTCTGTTCCCCCTGCCCTTAGCGCTGCCCTTCCAGCGTTCCCACATCCTCAGTGTGCCACTCCTACTTCCCCTGGTCCAGACACTTGTTATTCCTGCCATGTCCCTTCAAGGTTTCCCTCGGGGCCTTTCTCCTGTCTGTCCCTCTCCTCTGGGTCCCTTCCTGTCTTTCTCTCCTCACTGCCTCTCCCAATCCTGACCCTGCTTCCATCTAGAGTCTCTGTCCTGGACTCTTCCACAGTTGATGGGTGACCAATTGTTAAATCTGATACAGGGGAGAGGAGCTGCATTTGGACGCCCAGCTGCCGAGCGTCGGCAGAGGCCGAAGCAAGAGTCCGACTGTGTCCTCCTGTAGCCCCGCTCAGTGCCAGGCTGCCTTGCCTCCGCTTGCAGAGGCTGGGGCTATTTTGCTTGCTCCCTGGCTCAACTTGAGATATGCAGGGTAACTTATTTATGGAATGTTGGGGATCAGAGCAGGCAGTAAATGCCAAGGTCAGACTTGGTGACGTCTTTGCCCTCACGTGCTGCCTCCTCTTCCTCCCAGCCATCCTGGGCAACATTGGGGTTGGTCGGGTGAGGATTTCTGATTCCCAACTCCCTTTCCCCAGAATAGTCACATTAATATACAGACTCAGGCTCCAGGGTGAGGTCCCTGTCTAGAACCCATCTCCCCTACTTTCTGCTCCTGCAGGCCCACCCGTATCCATCCATTTGTTTCAGGGTTTAATTTGGGTTTCTATCTCCATTATTTGTAATGCCTTCCTAGGGGTTTGGAAATAAAACTTCTTTCCTGAGGTCTGTTGTTTGCCTTACCCTGCAGCTATGGGGTTAAGTATTTGACTCAATTGAGGAATGCAAAAAGGGGGAGGGGGAGGTAAAAAGGTGTGAGGGGGCGGCCTGTCATTTCTAATACAAGCAGCAGGGGGAGCCAAAGCCTGCTTTTTCGTTTTTTATCTGTTTTCGATAGGTCTTCTTTTGGAAGTAGTACTATAATTTGTGAGGTGGGTTTCCAAGTTCCTGCTTTGGACAGATGAATTTGGGGATTGTGCACCCTGATAACCCAATCTTCCCGTGCAGGGGAGGGTTAGCTTGATCCTCTGCTTGCTTCTCAGGTCATACAGATGGTCCTTTGCTACCTCTAACCATTTCTGACCTCATTGTGGTTCCTGGTTCTCAATTATTTTTCCTGAAATTTCCTGGTGAAGAGAGATTAACGGGGGGGAGGGGAGACACCGAGGGGAGGGGGGGTTGTTGACAACTGCAGTCTAGAGCCTCAAACAGGACTCCTGTTGAATATCCAACATGAAAGCCACCTCCAGCTTCAAGGCCTCCTCCCAGCCCATGTCCTGCTCCACCCAAACTTCAATCAGGGAACACAAATGACAGTGAAGTTTGCCAAAAGAATTCAAATATCAGTGAGATGTGCTGGCCAGAATACGGAAAGAATGAGTAGAGCAGAAACTATCAAAGAGATCCCATTATCGCATACCCAAGACAGAGCTAGGGGACCCAGGTGCAGATATCACTTTGAAATGAGGGAAATTAAGGGATTTAAGAGGAACTTGGAGTTCCAGACTCCACAAGAAGCTGGAACGTGGTGCTCAAGTGAGGGGTTATTTTATTTGGAGGCCCAGCTGGTCTCCTGCAGGCTCACCCATACATGGGAATCTCAGATTCTTGAAGGTCATATGGGGATGAGGTCTCAGAGGTCTTCAGCCCTGCACAGGGCTAGTAGGGCTGACCGGCAGTTCCCTTTCACTGCATTCTGCAGACAAGAAAGTCAAGTATTAGAAAGACCCACCACCACCATGGCTTAGGCACTCTGTCCTCTCCCTCGCGCTGGCCCAGAGATTGTGTGGTGCCCGGAGTCCTGCACTAAATTCACCAAAGACCCATGAGTTCTCCAGGACATGATGACATAGATGACTATGCTCCACTGTGTGCAGTGTGGAGGTTAGGGGTGAAGCTCCGGGGCTCCAGGTTAAGAACCAGCGAAGTCTCACCTGGAGGGAAGAGTAGAGGGACTTCCCAAATTTCTTTTGAACTCAGCTCGGATACTTAGAAGATCAGTCTCACTTCGAGAAATAAGGATACGCATCAGAACTTGGTAATTGTCTCAGTTTCCTGGTAGAGGAAGAAAGAGAATGTGGATGTGGTGGTAGTGACATTCTCACAGACTAGGGATTGGGCCACATGGTGAATTATTCTAGGGAGTGTTGGTGAAGAGAGAGTCAAGGAAAAGAGAAATATGCATTATGTAAGGGTAATGATGTGGCAGGAAAGATCGATTGCTGTGGGGAATATTACTGGACAATTACTTGTTCCATCCACGTCTTTCCTGGCCCTGCCACTAGCTTAGAGCCTCGCTCTTGAGTACCTCGCTCCAAGGGCAGGTACTCAAGAAAAGATAGAGGAGACTTGCCACCTATAAAGACTTACAGCATGAGGGACTTCCCTAGTGGCGCAGTGGTTAAGAATCTGCCTGCCAGTGCAGGGGACACGGGTTCGAGCCCTGGTCCGGGAAGATCCCACGTGCCGCGGAGCAACTAAGCCCATGCGCCACAACTACTGAGCCCACATGTCACAACTACTGAAGCCCGCACGACTAGAGCCCGTGCTCTGCAACAAGAGAAGCCACCACAATGAGAAGCCCGCGTTCCACAATGAAGAGTAGCCCCCGCTCTCCACAACCAGAGAAAGACTGCGTGCAGCAACACTCAATGCAGCCAAAAAAAAAAAATCTTAAAAAAGAAATCTTAAAAAAAAAAAAAAAGATTTACAGCATGAAATCCAGAAAGACTGTTTTTAACTTACAAGTTCGAGAAAGTCCAAGGAGGATACACCCACCCTGTCCCTAAACTGAGTTGATGGGGCTCTGATAGGGAGCAGGGTCATGTGACTTCCCGTTCTGATCCTGACCTACCAGGGTCGTCTTGTTATCCTCATCTTTATACATCAGTTTCTCCTGGTTGGACCCCTGGGGTTCAGCATCACTGTCCTTCTCTCATACCTGCACCAGGCCTCTTGCCTTTTGGTTAAAGATGGTAATGGAGGGTTCAGTTTAGAAATAATAGAGATATAGTACATATTCAAATCATGAGCTATAACTGATTATAATAAAATATTTTGGGGACTTCCCTGGTGGTCCAGTGGTTAAGACTCTACAATCCCAATGCAGGGGGCCCAGGTTCGATCCCTGGTCAGGGAACTATATCCTGCATGCTGCAGCTAAGACCCAGTGCAGCCAAATAAATAACTAAATATTAAAAAAAAAAAAAAAAGGAAAGAAATGTTAAAAAAAATTTTTTTTTGGTTGCAAAAAACCTGTTTGTGTCATGAGCTGTGCACTGGTGTTGTCATCATTTCCTATTATCCTCTTTTTCAGAGTTATCTCAGTCACTTGACTCATAAGACCCTTCCCAGAACTGCCTGAAACCTACACTTAGGGCAACCCCACAGATCATAAACTCCCACAAAGAAACAAACAAAAAAAATGATGAAGTGAATACAGGATGCTATATATATATATTTTTAAATGTTTATTTATTTATTTGGTTGCACGGGGTCTTAGTTGCGGCACGCATGTGGCATCTAGTTCCCCGGCCAGGGATTGAACCCAGGCCCCCTGCATTGGGAGCATGGAGTCTTAACCACTGTGCCACCAGGGAAGTCCCCAGGATGCTATATTTTATTTGGACTCATTCATTACCTAATTGTCAGTGGGCCTGATGGCTACTCTTTGTTTTGTTTTGTTTTTTTTGCACTTTAAATTAAATTAAATTTATTTATTTAGCTTTTGGCTGTGGCTTGTGGGATTTTAGTTCCCCGACCAGGTATGGAACCCAGGCCCTCAGCAGTGAGAGCAAGGAGCCCTAACCAGTGGACCGCCAGGGAATTCCCTGATGGCTACTCTTTTGAATTCCATGTATCCTTGGTTTTATGTTGTGATGAAGACTGCCAAATGCTTCCCAGTATCCATTCTTCCCTTCTTCCAACTCTTGTTACTCCATAGTTATAGAATTGGGGTAGGAGTCACTCATTAACTGAATATTCCCAATGGTGTACAAGTACCCTCTATACCAAACCTATATCAAACATAATTCTTGTCTTGTTACTTGAGAATATATTTGGCATCTCATACTGCCCTAGGATCTTTATAATGAACCTTCATTTTATGGTTCAGATTGGTCTGAATTTGTCCTGAATCAGCTGTCATTTAAAGGTCATTTTTCTGAATAAATATTCATCACAGTTATGTTTTCACATTTCTCTCATAAAAGAATAGTTTGGAAGTGTCTTGATTTTTTCCTTTTTTTTCAGAAAAATAGGCCTGTATTATTTTTTGACTCGTACTTCTAAGATAAATCTGGCATTTACATCCAAGAGTCTACCAGCAATAAATGATTGTAAAGTATTTGGATTACAGAGTCCTGTAACCCAAATACTTTACAATCATCTATTGCTGTGGTATAAGTTTGTTTTTATGACAGGAATTTAGATAACCACAACTCTTCCAATGAATCTTAGTGTTCACTCATTATAAAAGTACAGGCTTTATTGGATGGGTACAGTAATCTACTGTCAAAATGGAAATCTCTGGATGATAAAATAAATGCTTCTATGTATTGTCGAATAGCTGTTAGTAGGCATGATGGTTTCTCAACCAGTATACAAAAAGCTATTCCATCTTCAAATTTTTGGTGAGCTTTTTTATTTATAAGTTTTGGGGGACAGTTGTACTAGGAGACCTAGCTCAACGAGCACAATGACCGGATTCTGTTTATGAAATTCCTCAAACCAAGATCGCCAATTTAAGTTTGGATAATACGGAACAATAGACCAACACCTATGATATAGACCAGGAGTTGATACATGGCAGTTACATGTCCTATAGGATCATTATGTGTATTGTAGGAGACTAGGTGACTTAATAGCTGTGTGACCTTGGGCAAGGTATCTAACCTCTCTGTACTTCAGTTTTTTCATCTATAAAACAAGGATGTGAGTGTGGATGTGAGGATTCACTGAAATGTGTAATGTGCTTGGCATAGGCCCTGGCACACAAGGAGCCCCTAAGAAATGGTGGCTCTTTTGCTATTTTTTCTAGTGTTATCACCATCCTCATTCTGGCAACTGAATCCATATCTGTTTGGCCACCTAGACATTAATTGGGCCAAAAATTTTAGCTTTGGTGCCCTGGTGGGTCCACTAACCTATCTCTAACCACAGCTCACTCCTCTACTCTTCACAAGACAGTTTGTAAACCTAGGAAAAGAGAGCTGCTCTATGTTTACAAAATAATATGAGATTGTTACATTAGCAGGAGCGTGAAACCTCCTCTCTCTTGCCCAGGAGATACTCTATGGAGTATCATCAGTTCCTCCTTCCGGGCTCCTTCTCGGTCTACAGACTGGTTTCTAAAAGGTAATATGCCCAAGTGCAGAGGGAAGGGGCTCACCTTGGCCTGCAATGGCCCTTGGCAGCCTCTGTGCATCCTTGTCTATACTGAAGCTCAAGAAGGTTCTGAAGATGCCCCAAGCTGCGGTCTGTAAGAGCACGGGGGTACCAAAGTCTGCCCATTCCCCAGTGCCCCAGCCAGGCCCTGGGCATGGCCTCCGGGCCAGCTCTCCCTTTCCTATTCCCCGTCCCACCCCCCAGCCCCTGTGTTGATGTAAAAAAAAAAAAGATTCCTACAATCCCAGCAGCGCCTACCTTGTTGGCAAGGCCCAGGTGGCTGAGGATCTCCTGAGCCAGGGATAGTCCCATCTTCCTGCTGGTCACAGACATGGTGCGAC